AACAATGAATTTTTAATAGTTATTCTCCTTTGCGACTGGCAATTAATGTAATGAGGTAGCAAGTTTAGCCAGCCCCAAGGGGCGACTACAAATTGGAGTTAATTCTTCACAGGATTTCCCAGCAATTGTTACCTTTAAGCTGTGTGACTACCACTACTATATTGTGAATTTATACATGTATAATTAAACAAATTTATACATAATTTTTAATGAAAACAGAAATAGTTATCACGACATTTTGTTTTTCTAATTAATGACATAAATTAGTAACATTATTTATACAGTCTTAGTAAGATAGGAACCGATAAAAATAGAAAAAATAATATACCAGAATTAACCCATTAGCACTTATTAATGAACGTAAATAGGTACAAATATTTAATAACCACTTTCTATTTGCTATTCATGAATAAACCGTTTTATGTGGCACACCTGTAAATATTTGAATTTAACGCGTGTCTTATTAATTAATTTGTTTTGAATGTGAATTGTTTGTAACAATGTTAGGTACATAATTAAACCCCTGTTCATTGTTCGATGTTGCTGAAACAAAGCAACCATTAAAGCTAAGACCTTATCAATTTGGACGACGTAGGTTACCTAACTCCCTCCAGAACTAATAGAATAAAGCTCTTCAAAGTGTTGGCAGGTGATGTAGAGTCAATTTAACACTCACCTTTCAACCTTAATGGTTCGTGAAGCTGTAAAGACCGGCAGCAACCAATAGCAACAAAACATTATATTTTATAATACTTCATCACGTCAATCGCTTGCAGACCAATCAAATAATTAATGAATTCGATTTTCACATTTTCTTAACTAAATATAAATTCATTATTCAGTATCGTGAGAGAATAGTTTCTAATTGATTTTTAATTTTCACTTAATGTTAGACATAGACACCTACATAAGTACACAATGTACAATAAATAAATTGACTAGCAAAAAACAAAATTCAGTGGAGTTTCTTGCCAGTTCTTCTCAATTGAATCTGTATACTCAACTGGACATTAAGTAAAAATATTAATACAAAAAAATTTACATTTATAAGCGGCAAAAATGTCCCAATAATATATTAGTTTTTCATTTAATTTGATAATTATATATATTTATCAATACGGATGCTATTCAAACAGAATAATGTCTACGTTTAATATATTTGACCGGTAAGGCGATCAAAAGAGTGATTTTTAAATACTAACTAAGATTTTTAAGTACTTTTTAAATATTAATAAGGTGCATATATTCTAAGTACAAATAGATACAGGTACATAAAAATTATAGTTAGAATTTTTGTTTGTGTTTCTGTGCCTTTGTGCAAGCTGATCTCAAATTTGGTTTCGATTCTCACTAATATCATGAGGTAAGCTTAACTTAAAATATCGTGTAAGTTTCATTCAAGTCGGTTTATAAATAAAAATGTTATACGACCACATTGTGGCAGGCTAATATAATGATGTATCATTTACACAAGAGAATTTCTCTGGACTATTAACATAACGCCATCTAGTCCCACGGTAAGTAGATCGTGTGGGATGCGTACTAGACAACAGATATAAATACTCATATATTTTGTACATACATATAAAACACCCAGACCGTTAGGAACAATCATATTCATGTAAACAAATGTTTGCACCTTGCGAGAAATCGAACCCGCGACCATCGAAAGTAAAGAGGTGTGCTAAACTGCTAGATCACCGAGGCCGTCAAACATACATGAGGATAACAGATAATATAATGGTACTTTATTTTACAAACATTATGAACACTTCAAATTATAATATTATAAATATATAAATGTATTATCCAGATACTTAAAACCATGAGTAAACAAAGCACTCTACGACGTAAGTAGCTGTAGATTCCTGAAGGACAGTAAGTCATAAGTACTTGTTCTTATACTAGTCCACGCGACGTTAGAGAGAGCTTCATAAATTTATTAGACTGAGAAAAGGAGAGAGTGTAGAAAAGTGTTGTAAACAAGTAGGTTAAAAACTAAAATTTAATAATATAGTATATCTACTGATATACGGCATATATCGATTTAATTAATTAAATATATTTATATGTGATATAAAATATATTATTTGTTCTGTTACAAGAGTTCGAAATTAAGTTATTACCGCTTGACAAAAAATGTAATGAAAAAAGAAACTAACTTGACTACTTATGTTGTTTTCTAACAATGTGTATCGTGGATCGTTGACGGCGTTGTACATTTATTTATTGAATATATAATATATTTAATGGCATACATATATATTCTTATATATATATAAATAAAATAGATTACGATAAAAATCTAACCTTCTGGGTTAGATTTTATTATGAAATATATCTACGTGTATATTTCATTCTGACATTAAAATTAATTATAGCACTATTATTAAATTATACACACTTAATATTCACATGAGTAAAATCCTATCTTACTTATTTAACGATGTGTCAACGTACGACGTAGAGAGGTAAGCCTTTTGCAAACTAGGTACTTAGTTAGTCCGGGTACTTAGTTGTACACACATAAATAAACGGAGCAGGTACAGTGTGCAGGGGTGGGTATTATCATGTTATAATTAAAATCACCTCTCGACAGCGGTCTCGCGGCTAATTTGTCTTCGTAATAAATTGTTTGTTTTTCTCGCGCCAGTTTCGCGTAATTTGTTCTTGCGTAATTTATCACATGTCGCCGTGGTGCTCTGGATTAGGTGGCGCATCCCTCACATGGATGCTTGTAAGATTAAGACTGCCGACACAAGACCGCATCTGTTGCTGAATCTCCAAATATATTCCTGTGTTTCAAATGTCACTTTAATATTTACCTAACGCTTTATTAAGTACATTTTATCTGAAAATAATATATTAAATGTGAACACAAGTGAACACAAAAGCAATAATGGGGATACCGATGTATTGCAAACTGTTGCATGCTTGTGACACAATACTGTATTGTACTCGTAATACCGAATCAAGTGAGCTCAAAGGAACATGATCAACTAAATGCCTATGAACATGAAACGTTAAACCAATACGTCGAGACCTTTAGAGCACTCTCCGTCGATTGGATGCTAACATTATATATACTTAGTACATATCTATCCAAATCGGTATCTCCAATCTCGAAATTCTAAGCCCGATACAAACCCATTAAATTACTTACGTTATTGAAGTAAACAAAAAATACACTTCAAACAAAAATAAAGCAACAATATTAAAAGAGCCGTTCGAACATGTTCGCCGAGCAAATAATGCAGATAAATAACGTTTTTTACCTAGAAGAATCTCGAAATACGATTACACAAAAGGAAGTGGGGAGGTAACGAAAAATAAACATACGTATGTTAAAATAATGCCGCCCGCAAAACCGAATTTGAATTTTTCCCTTTGTGCCTCACCGACGTCGTGTATTGTATTTTCGTTTTATTAAAAGCAGGAAAATAAACAAAAATTTGGGACTCTTGCCTGTGGGCCCCCGCCGCCCTCTCACCTACGCACTGTACATACCACAGCGCATATACAAAGTGGATGTATTATACCCGCTTTGTAACTTTGCCCTGTGGCGTACATACTCCAAACTACGTAATTGAGGGTAAAAGGAAAAAGTTTCTTGAAATTAGTATTGAAGTTATGCTCAACATTTTCCACCCGTCTTCGTCGTCTTACATTTAATAATCACACCAATATATTTATATTATTACCAATTATATATAATAATTATATAATAAACTTTACTATACTTTATTTATGTAGTAAAAAGTATAAGTATAATAATTCAAATATTTGTTATAATGTATTTTTTTATTTAATTATTTTTTAACAATAAACTTTTGAATAATATTTTTTATTCCTCTGCTAAAATGAATATAGTTATTTTGAAAAAATGGAAAACGAAAAATTTCTACAACAATAGAGTTTTATATATTATACATACATATATATTAATATAAATGGCCTACTTGATCTGATTCAACGTACGTACGGATAAAACGTATAAGATCTATGAACTAGAACTTGATGCAAACAGTTGTGGGTGGTAACATATGTGGGTCATATTTTAGGAACATGGCCCGAATGTCACCAAGACGTCTAAAAACATCGCTTTACACGTACTAGAATTTACTGTACATTACCCACTGTTGAAGTGTACTATCCTGTTTCTAAACCCTCAACGCCAGAAGCCTATTTAAACTCGTCTGGTTGTATAAAGTCATTATGATTTCTGTAAAGCGGCAAATCAGATCCTGGTATTCCTTTTTTTAAGTTAATTGAACTCATTGAAGTGGAAATAAGATGTCCACGTAAATTCCGTTGCGCAACCCACCGCTGCGCAATTTCCTTCCACTTTTTATAATTAGTAATGTAATTATTACTGTTTGCAGACTCAACGGAAAAATTCAGAGTTATTTTATATTTTTTCCCATCCTGCAAAATGTAAATATGTGTTTGATAATTAAAATGTTACCAACGAGTGGAGTTTTTAGACTATTTTAAAAATGCACTTAACCAGTTACTGGTACATTTGTTACCAGTACCAGTACTGGTACATTAATTACATTTGTTCCTATGGCAACCAACACTTTAGAAAGAAACAAATTAATCGAAATTTTAATTCGTAGTTTTTTCATTTATAAAATTAGTAGGAAGTTGAATATTATTTCTTACAAAATTATATAAGTGATTTAGCTTTAGCACATTTTCAATGAAATCGATAATTTGTGAATAGACGTATGAACGCTTTTTAATCTAACGCGGCCGGGAGCAAATCTACCGGCGCACCGCCTGTCTGTATAATTTGATTTGTTATCGGTATTACCATCACCAAATAATAGTCTGAAATGTTGCAAACCAACATGCTCTCAACAGTATATTTATTATTCATATTCAATTGAAAAACATAAATAATTTACAAATACTGATTGACTCAACTTTCTACTTCGTAGATGGTAGTTTAGCTTATCATTTTCCAAATAATAAATATTCTGTATAATTTGTTGCAGCTGACGTGGGAACATGCGCAGTACCTCTTGGCATGGAAAGTGGCATGATCTCAAATGAATCATTGTCCTCTAGTTCCAGTTATGACCAAAGCGTATCACCGCTCAGCTCCAGGTAAGACATTTGAATTTATTATTACATTAGAATAATTTAGATATTTTACAGAGAATCATAAGATTTAAACAAAAAATAAATAATATTTAAGCATTGATGTTTTAATAAGAAAAATATTTAAGGTACCTAATAAAACAGACAACGCGACAACCTATTTAACAAATAACAGTATGATTGTTTTAAAATTAAAACTCTATTTTACAAATTCGTAGCAAATAACCGCGTAATCGATACATAATTCCTTTATCTGCCTATTGTTAAACAACAATAAAGTGGTATGATACGGCCAAGTTGTTACAATAATTGTGAATCCTGTAACCGCAAAACGCTCATACTTAACTCAAACAATTAACAGAGGGTCTCACATTCGGTCCTTAAGCCCGCATAAGCCCGGCGCGAGACAATAGCACGAAAACTCGACTCCCGTTTGAGAAATTCACTAACAGAAAATTAAATTTTCATATGAATTCGGAGCGGCCGTGATCCTACAAAAGCCTTTCGAGGCTTGACTCCCCAAAGATAACAAGATGTAAGTACGGACGGATGTGCCAAAGCCTTATCAACAGAGCCACTTTACATAGGGTCAGAGGCGATTTAGCTAATGCTACGTTAATTCAGCGTTTAGCGCTCTTTGTTCCCGCCGTACCTACAGATGAGATGGCAGTACAGATATTCAAATTAAACGGCCGCGTCAGAGCAAACCCCACCTCTGTTGACAAACGTAACACCGAAACATTGTAGACTATTTACCAGAACTGTAACGCTAATTTTATTTGCTTATGCGCAAACGTGTCTTAAGCTGGCGTTATAAAATGTAAACGCATAGATACTAAAGTTGACTTAGTTGCCGTTGCAGCTGCTATAAATGGAAATGCAGTCGAGTATTTCGAGGGACACCTCGTAAACATCACCAAACAACTTAGGTGCACTAGGAATGCAGTAAATAAAATATTCTCATCTGAAATACGACACCTTTATAAAGTTTCAAGCTACCTATAATCTCCAGTCCAAGATGTAGTAAAGAGTTTAAATACTTCAGTATGGAATGACAGTGCAACTTTTTATTACAGGGGTATAACTTAGTTCTCACTTCAGAAATATAACACATAAGTAACACCATACAGTGTTGTCTTGGATGTGCACAAGTTTTCTTACGCCTGTAAGCAACAGTGCCCACTTTTAAAGAGGTGGAATATCTGCTTGTTTATAATTTAAAACTCTTAAACAAACATACCTTTAAACATTCTTCATTAGTGCCTCCAGCAATGGCACCAGTAACAATAATTAAAGACTAATATTATAGATTAAAATGACAACAAAAATGGAATCACGTATTAATTACGTTACTAAACACGAATTAAATTTAATGACCGTAGATAACTTTGTTGTTTCTCCCTTGAAATAATGAAACACGTTAGTAACTACAATATAAATATATTCATATTTATAATAATGAATTAGCTTTGCTTTTCCTGTAACAATAAATATCAGATAACGTTTGTCACATAAAATGTTGACACAATATGCTTATCTCATTTCAGTAAATAAAAATTGTACATTAAAATTCCAATATTTAAAAATATTTTCTTAGAATACTATACTAGTGACATAAATCTGTACAGTTTGTGACGGCCGTGGAGTGGTGTAGTAGTTTAGCACACCACTGTACTTCCGATAGCCGCGGCTACAATTTGTCGCACCGAACAGACGTTTGTATTCAAGTAAATGATTGGTTGTATTGGTCTGGGTTTTAATATGTATAACAGTTTACGAAAAAGATATATTTATCTATTTCTAATAGTTCTATATTTTATCTATTTCTAGTAGCTATAAGACAAGGTGCATGGGTGAATTGCCTAGATTTATTATTATTATTTGAAATGGATACGTTATATAACAAATAATATTAGGTCAGTGATAGCGTAACAAAATTAATAAAGGCAGCAAGACACCCAAAGTTTACGGGGATTATGTACAGTCGTCGTTCAAGTTTTGATTTCCGTCAACGTTATCCTCATTATTTAGAGAGGTATTGTGCTTGTCCATTAATCGCTGTTTGATTTTCTCGCTAGAATTTTGTCTCTCATTTTAATAAAACATTCATTTTAGCTCCCATTTATGTATTATATAAAATACTACACCTGTCATTAAAAATTGATGATGACAAATTAATTAATTTACTTCTACTCTATCCAAAGTCTTCATTAATCATAATCTTATTTTATAATACAAATATTAATTGTGTCAAATAAAAACTCGTACCGTATACAAATTTTGAATAAAGTTAATCAAGTATTTGAGATACAATTAATTTATAGTAAATTATTCAAATGTTAACTAATTACAGAAAAATGAATTCTTAATCAGTAGCCTACGTACGTACATTATGTATTTACTTGGACTATAAACAAAAAAAGCCAGAATCAGTTTTCTATTTTATTTTTTATGTAACATAGTTAAATATGTTGACTAACCTTATGGTAAGTGTAAACTCCAGTCATAACCCTTATACATTCTGGATTACTGAGGTATCATGCATACTATACACGTAATACTATTTCAAAATTAAGTACATCTTACAAAGTAAACGACAACTAGTATACCTTGGTAAATTCCATCTTTACTGCATGTAAAGATGGTAACTAAACGAACTTTAATGCTCATAGATTTACGTGTTAATTCTAACAGAATTCGTACCGAAATAAGAGGAGGAGCATGGTGCCCCAATGGACTTATATCACCACGGAGCCGACAATACTTGGAGATTGATCTACATGGCGAATATTTGATCACTGCAACAGAGTGCCAGGGAAGATTCGCTAATTCAGTAGGTGTTGAGTTTGTGGAAAGCTACTCAGTCGAATATTGGCGTGAATCGCTAAATCGTTGGGTGAAATATAAGGACTACAATGGAAGCAGGGTAAGTATTACAAAGAATAAAATTATCGAATGTGAACTATTTAAAATATATAACAGACACCATTTATAGAAGCTCATATAAATTTATTGGTACAGTTTCGGACCCTGACACAGTTCTAGAGTTACTTAAAATTAGTCCCACTGCGGAGAGTAATTTCAAGACGCCAGAATGATAGGGGTATCTATATATTTACCCAATACATATATATATATATATATATATATATATATATATATATATATATATATATATATATATATATATATATATATATATATATATATATATATATATATATATATATATATATAAATAATGTAAATTTAGTAGACATTTTATTTCTACTCAATTTACCTTACTCTTTTAAAATGGATTTGACACATTAACAAATTGATGCTATGTTTTTCTCTAAATATGAATAAGTTAGTGTTAAAAACATATAGAATTACCGCCAAGTTTAAATTGGAAACTTTATTTAAAGTTTTATTCATCTAGTTAGATGAATAATAATTTGAATAAAGCTTTTAATCTATTATTATATATTTCTTCTTTTTATAACGACATTTTTGGCCTTGCAGTTGAAGACTAATTTGTACATTCCCAAGTGTAGACAAAAATAATAATAAGCAGTGTTATATATACACATGGTATTGAATATTAAGTTCTTATTTCAATAAATAAAATTATTAAACTATTAGTTTTATAATTTAAATTATGGTGTGCATGGTGAAGCATGTGTATAATACCTTCGGTATCTGTACATAAAACTTGTGCTGTAATAATAATATATAGATTATCTTAAGAAAATCCTAAGATCATTCTGCCGGTGACTGGTCGCCGAACGCTCCCACCGGCTGAATACCTGAATACTAATAGAATGGGTCTGGGCGTTCGGAGTCTTCAACTGTTTCTCCACTTCATCTTTAGCTCCAATAAAACTAAAAAATGTATAAAATATATAAGTCCCTTAATTTTACCTCTTAACGTCAAAAAATCGAATGAGCCAGAAGGCATACCAGCATTGGTCTTAATGCAGTGATCTCTTAATTTGTGTCTTATACTCTCGCCTATTTTCATGTTTTCATGCTTCCCTAGGCAAATTCTGAGCTCATGGAATAGGCGACAGATCAAACCCAACGAATTACAGAACTATTGCTAACGCCTCCGTACTTTCCAAGGATCATTATTTATTAAACGACCGTCAGTATGATTAACACCGTATCACTCAACTAGAGAATTTAAGTTTATAATGTATAAAATTCACTAAAAATCGCGAGGTGAGCGAGATGGCTTTGATATAGTAAAAGCATTTGATCAGATTTGGGATCAAGGTCTTCTATTGAAATTGTCCTGCTACGGACTATCAAAGAGATTATGCGAATAGGTTACTCAACAAATTTCTTTCCACCGTGTTCATCAAAAATAATGTCGACGGTTTGCTAAGATACCATGAATATTAATTAATGCTGGTATGCTGTAAGACTCCGTTGTTCCCTCAAGACTGTTTTTGCTGCTTATCAATAATTGGTTGACCTGGGTTGCCTAGCATGGCACGGCAATCGCCGTGGCAATATACTCTTACCATTGTGAAGGTAAATCGCGAACAGCTTTTGCCTGAAATCTGGAATATTTGCCTGAAATCTGGATTACTCTTGCCAGTGTCTCCGACTAGAGGCGATTGAACTTAGTTAATTTTAACAGTATGCTCAAAGGAAATTCCATTTGCTGTTTGGATATGCATCCAGAGCATGTTCGTTTCACCTAGTAATAGTGTCTAGATTCTCAGTGTCGACATACGATATGCGTTATCACGCACACCAAGAAGATGCAGTATTTCATCGTGGACCAAAGAATACCATTACAGAAATCCACCCTACGAAGTACTTTTCTCATCTTAACTCGGTTCAGATACAGGTCATGAATATTTTCGATGATCACTAGCGGTACCGTGACTCTTACTTTGAGACGAGTCTTTGCATTGCGGATTCTGTTTTGAGGAATTGTTTAAAATAATGCCTACAAATATTGTACCATCTCAGAGAGATCTCGCCATTGACACTCTGTAACGAATTACTAAAACAAACTCGAGAGAACTTTCCTCCTATGCACCTGAACTACCTGCTGAGAAGTCCACCCACCACCACCACACCATATGAATGACTGAGGACGAATGTTTTTTAAACCTATATTATTATTATTATTATATTGAAAAAACATCCATTACATTTATAAGTACTAATAATTTAACACAACTTTTATTAATAAATAATTGGAATTTGTAATAAATTCTGATACATTTATGTATTCTTTCAGCTGATACCTGGAAACGTAAATACTTACACAGCCCGAAAAACAACTTTGGAAGCACCATTCATAGCATCAAAAGTTCGTTTTTTTCCGTACGCGGCACATCCCAGAACCGCGTGCATGAGAGTTGAGCTCTATGGATGTCGTTGGAAACGTAAGTACATTGTTGCTGGCGTCGTCCCGGGACAATTGCTTTGCGAGACGTGCCACAGCGAAAATTCAAATTACACACTTCATTAATTTGAATATGTAAATGCAGTAATTGTTATCTGCTGAGCGATTAGCCGCCACAGGCGGTGTATTTACATGGTCTCGTTTCCACAGAGGGACTTACGGCATACTCAGCACCGAAAGGCGGAGACATGCAGGCGATGACCGGTGGTGCTAAATTCGAAGACCTCTCTTATGACGGGGTGATGCGCGATTCAAAACTTAACGATGGTTTAGGTCAGATGTCTGATTCATTAACTGGGCCCAACGATTTTGAGTTACCCGACCCATCCGACACTAGAGGTAAATATTTAAATCCAATAAGTTACAGTTCCTGTATAATTTAGTAAACAAGAAGTAATGAATTTATGCAGGTATTGCGATAAAGAAGTACTTACACCTTATTTTTATTACACTATGCTCTACTACTTCTAATGAAATGACGTTTTCAGGCACACGTTGGGTTGGCTGGAATAAATCAATGGTGATTGATGACGAAGTAGTACTTACGTTCAATTTTACAGACACTAGACTTTTCCACTATGTAGATATCCATACAAACAACATGTTCACTAAAGATGTACAGGTACATATTATTCATAATATTCACTATTATATTCATGTAGTGTAAATGTTAAATATACTATATTATTATAGAATAAAAAACAATGCTAGGCGATGTTAATCTCTTAAGTTCACGCACTGCGTAAATAATTAAGCTTAATATACTTGACATATATTCTGAAATTTGTTAACCTAGTGTTTTGTTAGTCTGGATTCATTTTGTTTTTGTGTATGATGAAACTTATTCAAATTTACACGGTTATTTAAATTTACTCCATTTTAACTATTTGGTAGCTAATTATTTATACTAAACTGCTGTTTTAACTGCTTTTTTAATTTAAATGTTATTCTGTTTAGCTTTTCAAAGAAGCAGAGGTATACTTCTCACTGGAAGGAGAACGCTGGCAAGAAGATTATATTTCAAATGAACCAAAACAAGATCGAGTATCGGAACACGCGCGAACTATTCACATTGATCTACAGAATAGAACGGCGAAACATATTATGATTAAACTGAAGTTCCAGCACGAGTGGATACTCGTCAGTGAAGTCACCTACAAATCTGGTAAGAGACTCTTTCTATTTCTACCTCTTTTATCTTAGATAATTATGAGACAAAATTTGATTTAACAGATGTTACGTCGAAAAGGATGAGACGACGTCAGGGGGAAATTTACTGCTTTACACAATTACGATAGCTATATATATATAGGAAATACCCTTAAGAAATAATTATTTATCACCAAAATTGAAGTCTTTTCAATAGAATCAAATAAATATAAATAATAGTTAAACATACATAAATGTATTGCTTACATAAATGTATTCTAAAAGTATTGCTTTAAAAATATAAGTAGTAGTATTAACGTTATAAAGCTTTCTATAATAAACAACACCGCCACAAACTTTATCGTTTTTAATATCAGCATTAAAAGTGAATAAATTGCGAAACAGTTTTCATAAAGTACACAATAATAAAACCGTATGAAAATACAAGTTGTTTCATGCAGTCCCCATCACGGATTTAATAGGCCTACTTTAAAAAATAAACATAAATCAGAACGAAAGTCAGATAATTTATTTGGAATTCATTCGCAACTCATTTTACGATGGCCCAATCAGCGCTCAATTCTCGGATAAACATCCCTTGAATTCACAGATGAGAATCCAAAACAGTTTATCGAATCAAATGTTTTATACAAACAAATTATTCGGGCAAATTACTTGGGGGCAAAAAAGTGAACAGGAAAGATTCACAAGCACGATTGGGTGATTTTTCGCGAGAACAAAAAGAGGGCCTCCTCTCCGGAGGGCACAGGAAGACCTGCTACCAAGCCCAGCACGCTAATAGATCCATTACTCCACATCGGGCCTCCCTTATCTGTTCAGAGCACTCGCAAGCCTCCGGCTATTTCACAAATTTTATCTTTCTCTAATTAATCCACAGCTCTTTTGAGGAAATCGCCTCTTAAGTGATAAATCGCCGCCCGCTAAATGAAGAACTTGTAATTAAAGAAAATCTTTGATCTGAATTATTTCGTTCCCTCAATTATATTTGGAGCAAGTTTTGACGCGTTGTTCGTTGTTGCTTGGATATTATCTGCCGTTTGAAAATGTACCCCAATAATTTTGCCACGCATGGTGACATGGTGCGAACCATGCGATGCTCATCTCATCGGACACTGATAGATAGTATATTATTGAATTTTCTGGAAAATCTTATTTATATTACAAACAATCTTCAGAATAACTTTCCCCTTCAACCGATTCAACAACAGATTGACTGTGATAAAACTTTGTTAAATTGAATTACATTCATGAGTTTAATCAATTAATTTACAGTACAGTCCTAGGAGAGTTTCTGAAATTAAAGTAATCGTCTCTGTAAAATAATATTACTAAGAGCTATGTTAAAGAAGTAATTATATATTCTAGGACTATATAAAATTAAATTATTTATAATATTGTAAAATAGATCTAAACTACTTACTAATTTGTAATTAAAATACAAATTTACGCTTCCTCTTTCATTACAATAACGATAAGAAATTGTATGTTAAAAAAATATCTAATAGTCCTCAACTATTTAGACGAGGGCAGTAGGAACAGTTAGTTTGTTAGTTAGTTATTTAATAAAATGATGATACTCGCGAATAAGGATAAACATAATTTAAACAGCACGATCGTAAACAAATTTGTATATTAAATAGGTGCCCCATATGCATAGATAGATATAGACGACGCAAATATTTACCTCAGTTTATATGAAAAGTAAACTTGTCATACTAAACTAAGTAGTTTATAATAGTAACACGCTTAGTTAGCTTTTGTAACACCAAGGTAAGTGCCTTGATACCATAAAAGCTGTTATGCTTAGAAACTTCGGTCGGTACCAAAATATTATCTATAATGGTATTTTATATTTTTATTAACTTTTTATTATATAATTTATCTAACAACTCAATTGTCATAACATTTAGGAATAGGAACTCTAATATATGCCTGCGGCTGTCTTGTTCTGTTTCTCCACATTTTTTAATGATAATTCTTTTTTTGCGGTAAACAAAATTATAGATATTGTAAAACAACAAACCACACCACTTTCACGTTTCTGAATCTGTGTAACATCAGAAAATAAATGTCTATTCTCATTGAATTTATTTCACAAGTCTCTAAAGACATTTTCTGTTATTTCTTGCCAATTTGCCATATAAATAGGTACAACAATATCTTCGAAAGGGGAACGAAATCTCATCCGTTATTTGCAAATTTGCTATATCCCCAGTGATACTATATTGTAAAAAGATCTTTATGTGTTTGTTTTACATTCTCGAGCCGGATATTAAATGTAACAACAACGAGTGAAGCTAATTTCCTAACACATAATTAAATATTTTGTAAATAAATGTTCTGTGTTGTCTAATGAAAAATATTTAATACCTGACTTCATAAAAGTTATTAATAATTAATATAAGTTACCGGTGTAATACATATTTATGAATGCCCACTGGTAATATAAAGATCAAACTGTATCACATCTTAAAACCGTATCCCGCGACTTGGTTTACTTTATTAAATATATTTATTGATAAATTAAAGACTCTATCTATACCTGTGATACAATCTATCTTCATAATAAATATGTTAAATATCCAATAAACTGCTTAATTCTGAAATGATAACAAAGACAGCCGCATTTTACATATACAGTGGATAATTATAATACAATGATACCAAAATAAGTAAATCTCAGTAAACTCTAATAAAGATGCTTACGATTAATTGCCCTGCCAAACATCTAAGATAGTCAGCAATTCCGATCGTCTATAAGAATGTTACATTAAAATATTCGAAATGTGAGAGCTTACTTTATGTATATACTAGTTTTTGTTTCATTTTGTTACGTGCAATATTACCGAAGTTGACCGCGAAAAGTTTGTACGCTGTTTTCGATTCCAGCGCTTATGGTTTAACATTACCTGTGTACACATATTCATTGTTGGCATGTTATTTTTGTTAGCAAATAGCATAAAATAAACAGTTTATTTAGCATATTTCTGTCGAAGACTTTTTAATACGGAAAAGAATCTAAAATACTTTATAAAAATGCAAATACCATATGCGTGACGGTTTTGACCTAGGAACTTTGTCTAAGATCTAGCTGACACGAGTCAAGTTTATATGCATCACATTTTCCCAGTTTTTATAACATTGGTTTTTAGTGTAATATTATATATGACATATAAGCTATAGTCTATAACCTTGATAAATGGGCTATTCAACACTAAAAGTATTTTTCAAGAGCAAATCAGTAATACCGGAGATTACCCCGAACATCCAAGTTCACAAACTGTTCAACCTTCAACCTCTTTATATAATATCAGTATAGATTATATATACGATAGCCAGAGTTGATATCATTTAGAATTAGAAAGCAACATATGTATATCCTCATACATATATCCGCATATATATAGGTATCACTTTCTGGTGCAAATCTTCAAATTACAGTACATCGTAAGCAAATTACGTTGGATACATTGTAATCTTGTCTACGTGATGACCGGAAGCCGCTAGGGATAGAGTTTCAGATTGGCCATAGTTAAATAGACATTCATAGATATCTATATGCATATACAACCATCCGGTCAAGCCCTCACCTTGCAAGGCTATACTTGTACTGTAATTATAGACATGATACTTGATGGATATCTTACCTCATGAATTATATTTCTTACAGTATTTTTCAAATAATTTTCAAGAATTAAATGTCTATTTTACTACATTTTTTAACTATCTAGCTAACGATACACGTATATAATTTTGTAAACTGATTTTGGTAATTATTTTTCAATTTTAATATACCATTCATTATATTATACATTGTACTCAAATGTACTAGTACATTTGAGTATCGTACTATAATATATACTTAGCATATATTTAAGACAGTTCTTGGTTGTAAATTATTATAAAAAAATTATCATTCGGCTTTGACAATATCTTTAACAGGTACTCTTCGTTTTTATGATATCATCCAAACAAATACATAGCTTATAGAGATCAAAGTTCATTTCGAATATATCATCTCATATATCAGTTGAATTCGCTTTTAAAAGAAAATCCAAGTGGAGCAGTTTTGCCTGAACTCTAACCTATGACGGGCCGTTGACCCAGCCCTCAAAGCTCATAGCTAAGCCCCGCCTAGGTCTTCATGACAGCTACCCCGATCGCATATTCACTTGTCGGATTATGGAATATGACTGCTTCATTTTTACCGTCTATGTGTTTTGTGCACATACAAGCCAAACTGACAAATCCTAGCTTTTGAACTTCCGTGTATTGTGCAACAAAATCTCTACTAAAAGTACGTGTTCAATCAACCGACATCTAAAAGACGGAGTTTGTCAATTCGACGACAATTTTATTGTGTACCGTAGATGTTCTGTGAAGTCTTTGCTACTATTTTTACCATTATTCATCGTCATTCATATTCGAGGTCTTATTCTTTACATTTATTTGATTTTTTATACAAAGCAATATATTGTATTTTCTTGTCAATTAAATTTAGTAAGAGTATCCATCTGAATACTTTCAGTTGCTAAACAACAAAACAAAACGCTTTTATTGTTTTTAAATGCAGATTGAAATATTACTGCAGTATCCAATATTTATATTACGAATATTTTTTATTATGTATTATATCTATATTTCTGATTCCGCATAGATACGCGATATATTTTATATGATATATACGATGACAAACGTCTAGTCTTTCTGAATATCCAGTTTAGGTGGGTTATTTATAGTCCCAACGTGCTAACTGACTTCATGTTTCGGTCATAATAGTATTGGTAATACAGTATTTATTTTTAGGTATATAAAAATTAAAAAAAAATATGTATCTGATTTTAAATATTTTGGATTTTATTAACATTAACAATGGTACTAGTCTTATGGATTAAAATAAATATTTAAAAAAATAATTACATTTACAGAGTGCAGGAAGTCTGTGTCTAACTTAGATTAATTTATTTACTGTACCTTTAACATGTTAATTACAATTAAAATCAAAATAAATAGTTCCTAATAATTAAAAACTGTTACAGTCAACAAATTAATCTGTTAAAAAGTTTTTTTTCTGATAATGTTTCTACGAGTATATATTTAAACCTGTAATGCAGCTGAGATGAGATGAGCTTATTTTAAAACAGATTTTTTAAATTTCAGTAACTTTCTGGTTATTCTTACGATATGCACTTATTAGATACGTTAAGTGCAAGCTAGATCGGTAATTGAATTTCAAATTTTCAAATATTATTTATACTTCAAACTTCTGCTTTAGAACATTTTTTAATCAATCTCATAGATGTACCTGTAATGCGAAGACTTTAGTTTAGTCTATCTAATCAAAATAATATATATTATAATATAATTGTTTGTTTATATTATGCTGTATTTCAAATTGATACATGAAACCATAGAATTATGGGGATTAAATTAAAACATTAGGCTCAAATTCATGGCCTGTTATGTTCCTAATCTACATAAAAACTATAGTTAAATATGATTTAAATAAGGACACATTAGATTAGAATAGAATAGAAAATCATTTATTCAAATAAACTTAATTTAAGCACTTTTGAATAGTCATAACAATGTGTTTTTTTAATCTACCGCTCATTCGGAAAGCTGTCTCATCACAAGAAGAACGAGCCAGAAACTTGTGTGTTGCTCTTTTAGAGGAGTAAATTAAAACATTAGGCTCAAATTCATGGCCTGTTATGTTCCTAATCTATATAAACGCCATATTATTTAAATATAATTTACTCCCCATAATTCTATGGTTTCATCAATCAATTTGAAATACAGCATATTATCTCCGCCTACAACGAGAAATTTGCACGGAATTAACTTGACTCTTGGCACTTAGCGACAATCAAACTGGCACTCCGCCATTCACCTTTAAGCTTAAACCTAGTTTTAACCGTGTTTGGAATTAACTAGGTACTCGGCCTATTTAGAAATTTGTTCGTTTTGCTTGCAAACTTTCGATGACTGAAAATGACACCTTGTTGTGAAACTTCAGCCATCGGCTTATAATTTGCTATCTGACTCTCTGTTGACGAAGTAATTTTCTCTTTGTGTCTTATATTTCTAGCAATTTCGGTCTGTTATCTGATATCCAATAATTACTTTAATCATTTACTTTTCATTAATTGAAGGGACACATTTACGCCAAGGAAATACATGAAAATAGCATATCAAGCAACATAGATTGCTTATCAAATTACTATTTATATATAGCCATACAGCCATTTACTATTTAACTTTCATTAACTACTATATAGCAGTAGGTTCAATAGTATTTGTAGTCACGCTACTTCGTAATTAGTAACTAATTTCATACTTCATCTTGTTTATTTTTTATACAAAATGATTTTGTTAATTATTCAAGTATTGTCTACATTTATTTAGCATTTGTAGTTAATAATTCTTAACTAATTATTAAATATCTGCACACTTTTCATTTAAACAAATTACCCTTCAAGTGGAATGTTACAATTAGTCACGACGGCGACGTCTCCCGTAGCCCCTATTGGTGTAGATACAAAACCTTCCAGGTTCTAGCTAAGTTCCGTTCCATTGTGAACCAACAATTAGTTCTGCGCTCGACACCTATTCATTTCATTGCATTGTCTTAGCCTTAGACGGGGCGCTGTTTGCCTTCATTCAATACGTTGGGTTAGTTATCACGGTGCGTTCAGACAGTCTAAAAATTACGTCTGCTGTGTTAACTCCCATACCGTGTTCTATATCTTAATGTAATTATTGCTATTATTGATCACGTCATTTTATAAAATTGTTTTAATGTTTGTGTACAGTGTAAAGTTTGCACATAAACTTTACTTAGTTTAAAGCCACAGCTAATTAAAATTAATATTATTTGTCTACGGATATGTTTTCTTAATAACCTAATAACATAATGTGTACACACAATGTCTAGAGAGTAAAGTAGCAAAATTGATTTTTAGTATATCTAAAGTATATAACCGTTATCTTAGTAAATTGAATGTGCCTAAATAAAATGCAATTTAATTATTATTAAAAATTAATTCTAAATAAAAGCACGCATAATGTACTAATGAGTATTAGCATGTATAAAAGTACCAAAGAAAAATCTAAATAATTTTATATTATCTATATATAGTGTGGTAGTATATAGTCTTAATAAATAAATATATAGTGCTGGTAAATGCCGTTAACAAACGTAATTAATCCAGAAATTGGCAGCGTTGAAAGCTCGCTCTTGCTAGTTGAATGCAAATATGTATGCAAATAATTGACTACTCGAGTGTTACGATCACCGCAACCGCAGAGAGAGAATAAACGTATATATGTATATATATGCCGTTTATCCTATATATATATAAATACATATAAATATATGAAAACTTATTATCTTAATATATAATTACTTATCTAAATTATACTCGCACATTATAGCAAAGACACCTACACCTGATTTTCTTAATTCTGAAAACTATTTCTAAGTTTTTGTTTTATACATGCGCCAATTGGTCATTTTGCAAATTAATCTACAATGAAAAAATACATGCAAATACGACTATTATAATTATTATTTTTAATATGATAATGTATCTAATTACAACCCTATTTATAACCACACCTGTAATTAATATTATTAGTTATTAAAACAAAAAAAATATCGTGTGATATTTTTAATAAATCTACCGGAGGTTGTGATAATAAAAAAAATATTTTTCGTATAACAGTTCCAATTTTTCATTTAACAGTTCCAACAGTCATCAATGCATCAACTGAGTTTCTAGAGGAGTACTACAGAACTGATATACCGCCGTCTTCTAGAAAGAAACGAAACTCATCGATGAGAGTATCCGTAGGACTAGCTTGTGGTGCTTTAGTAGGAGGAGGAGCATTCATAGCAGCTACAGCTGTCCTTATCACCAAGCGCACCCGACGACGTATACCCAATATGCTCAAGAAACCATTCTGCCCTTCGCTACGACAAGGAAACGCTAATTCGAGAAATAATCGCCGTGCTCCGAGGCTGGCTCTAGCTCTTGCCAACTGCCCCCCAATTCACATGCTCAGGTATGCAAATTTAATGTAAATATATTATTACAAAATACTATATAATAATAAACTAGAACATTTATTATATGTGATAGCAAAATGAATACCTGCGTTTTCCCAAAGCTAAAAAATCCGTTTATGGATAAATATTGTGAGGCTCAATTTCGTAAAAGGAAAGACTAGTTATCGTGCCTAAATTCTGTACGTGATTTAATTGAATTAGCACGGTTTAAAAAGGAAGACCTTTTAATACCGTTTTTATGTTCGCTAAAAAAATCTTTGTTTTTAGGCCGGCGGTTGTTGACGAGGATTACAGGGAGCCGTACAACATTTGGAGGGAGACCCTAGGGCGCCGTGATAAGCGTGATACACACGATCAAAATGAATATAACGGTTAGTTGATTTCTTTTTACTATTAATTATTAATTAATACATAGTGTATAATCAATAACACAGTAGTTATAGTCAGAATAAATAACAATTACTTCATTGGTTTCTAAACAGTTTTTGTAATATTTAGTCATTTTGTTTATTTCACAGCTGACAGTAATAACAGAATTTGTCCAATTTCCTGATAACGAATAAAAAAATTTCATATCTGATCCGATAACCGAATATTCAATTGATTCTATTATAATCAGAAAAAAATGTTGTATATTTTTAAGCTATCAGCACAGACAGCATACTTATAGATTTTCCGTCTAAAATGTGAAAATTATACTAATAAATAAAATGCTAAGTATGTTTATTTATTAAGATAATAGTAATCGATTTAAATAAAGAAATGTATTGTTGTACAGTGAAGCGTGATTTTTTTTATGTACTATAAAAATCATATGCGTAAAACATTTTTAATGTTGCTGGACAATTATTTGTTATATTTCTTTTTTTCCAAAAACACATATACAGAAACACCTAACACAGTATCTTGTTCATCCTATCTTACATTAAATATAATATACAAGTACATTGGATGAATTTATAGTTGACGCAGTATGTAGTCGCAAAAGCAACGTAAAATTAATATAACGACTTTGAACCATCAAAAACAGGTGGAAGTTAACAGTACCTTGAACCATCAAAAACATTAATTGAAAATTAATGCTCTAGCTTTTACTTACTCCCACTAGGTACGTACTCGTATTAACGAGAATATTTAATATGAAACATCTACATCTTATTATAGATAACATGGGAGAGATGTTTGCGATTGCCAATTAAACACAACACAAACCACAACCTTATTGATTAGACAACTTGTTTCTATTGTAGCGTTAAAACCACTGAAGTGGCATGTCTACCCTGTTTACATATTTACTTTAATTACATTATTTGCTCGCAAAACCAACGATACGACTTACTGAATATACCTGCAGGCAAGTTCCGACTCGAAAATAGATGAAACAATCGCAAACAGATAAAAGCAGAAAAGTGTAATAAAGTCAGGGATGCTTAATCCATGGGGCCTGACCCCAATTGTAAACAATACCTACTACAAATGAACAAACTACTGTAGGTTTTTTGTTCCACAAACAGGGGTTCTATCCCTCGTGGTAATGATGTTTATCTTAAATGGGTACTTATGTACTGCCACTGAAAAGATTATATTTAGTTTCAATTACACTAATTATATTTTATCAGAAATTATTTATTATAAATATCACGTATTATAAATACACATAGGAAACTTCACACATTAAAAAGTATTATTTAGAAGACTGGCAAAATTGGCTCCCTTCCTTTATTATAATATAAAATATATGAATATGCCAGCAGTAAGGTAAAAGATAATTTTAAGATAGAAGGTCATGTCGTAGGTATTCATAATAATAACAACATTCAACAATGTCCCTTTGTTTTTGCAATACTATTGGAAATATTAGTATTAAATACCTTACGAGTATCTATTGTAAACTAGAATAATATTTCAAAAAATTTCATATTTCTGAAGTCAAATATTCATATTTCAATGCCACTATACTCGAGTAAGCTTGCTTCGGGAATTGGCTCTCGATTGAACCACGAATTCGTGTTTCGAAGTCTCGTAACATGGGGCTAGTACAAAATTCGGGGAAGACATTGGCCGGCAAGCTAAAGCAGAATGCAATTTGTACATAAAATACATATGTATATGTGCCTTATTTCATATCCGAACTTTTATATAAGTTTGAACATAAATTTCTTGGTATAAATCTGGTGAATAATATATTGTTCACTTTCTTTGCAAAAAAAAACATCTACTAAAATTAATAATCTACATAAGTGTTTTGTACTAACGCTTGTCATATTTTTATATATAGAGGTAATAAATTCCTTGAACAACGAATTTAATCTAAATTAAAAGTGTAATTGGTGGTCTCAAGCTAAGCCTAACTCATAGTCTCAGTGTAAGCGCGATCCGATGTGCACGTATTATAATTATTTTATTTAATATCGTAATTGCTCAGCGCGGCATAAGCCGTGCTAGTCGAAGTTCCAGCCATGTGTGACAAACTTGTGGCCAACGAACTCCTTGCGTTCCTGCAGCAGAAGCTGGACGTAATGGACGAAGTAAGTGCAGTCCAGATCTGTGTGTCCAACTTCAGCCAGGACGACATCGCGAGCGCGAAGGCTCTACTCTTCGAGTCCCTAAATAAGACTGATCAGATGGTGTCTCGTAGACGTGACGGGACACAAAAAAGCGTACAGGACATTATAACGCTGCTGAAGGAGACCGATCCAGACGACGTGTCGACTTTTGTGGCGAAGGATTTAAACAAACTTCCTCCAGTCACATTTGATCACGTCGATGTTACCAGCCTACTCAAGGATATCGTGTCCTTAAAAAAGAGTTTGGCAGATGTGACGCTACGTTTTAATGCGTCAGAGCATATAATTAGTGAGTTGCGCAAGGAAGTGGACAGTTTGCGCGACTCGCGAAAAGAAACTAGGTCACTTGACGCTATGAACATCAACACGCGCCGTGGGGCATACCGCGATGCGTTCACGGCGGAGTCAGCGGTTTCGGCGTCGACACTGACGTCACCAGATGTGGTGTCACCGCCGGCCGCCGCGCCCCCCGTGCTCCCCGCCCGCAGCTCGCGAGCGCCGATACCGCTGCATGTGGAAGCAGCGCTAACAAAATCCTCGGTGCAACCACAGCGTCGAGATTTTGTCGCCGTCGTCGCTAGCAAACCGGCTGCTTCAGTACAGCGGCGTGTGCCAAAAACGGCACTGAACATTGACCCTACGTGTGCTGCCACTGGGAACCGCGACGATGATGGCTTCGTCGTGGTACAAAAGAAGAGGCGCACAAACAGGGTCAATAGGAATCATTGTGGCACTGCACTCACTGGGCCCAACTTTCTGCTGCGTGCTGCTACACCGACAACGACAATGTACCTGTCCCGTCTACATTACGCCACTAAGGAGCAGGACATTGTCGATTATATCCGTACCAAGAGTAACCTGACATTGAGGGTGACGCAGCTGAAGTCGAGTCACAACGCGAGTTTCAAAGCGTTTGTGGCCCTGGTCCCTACCGACTTGCTGCCCACCTTCATGAAAGAGGACTACTGGCCGAAAGGTGTGGTGTATCGGCGCTACCGTGGCAGATTGCCGTCTTCAGTGCCGTGATCACACAGACAATATAGTTGTATTGGTTTTTATTATATTATATGTATGTTAGTCTATAAGGTATTTATAATATGGGCCTAGTTGCCTGAAATAAATGAATAAATAAATAAAATAAGCCACGGTCCATCGCTCCATAAGTATTTAGTTTCTTTACAGGTATACGCAATTTAAACTGTGCCAATAACAAATAATTAAAGAGCAAACGAAAGTATAAGATTACTTCTCAATCGCGTCACTTAGACAATGGCAAAACAAACTTAGATTGTCTAAATGAATCACCCAAAAATTGTAAATTACTTTATCAATTCATTTATTTCTTGTTTTAAAATTAAACCTTAACAAGAACGGAATTATAACTTGAAATTCTCTTCTATATCACATAAGAAACAAGTCTCTTTTATACGAAGCATTTTCAACGCCTATTTTATATGTGTATATTGCGCTAAATAAAGAATATTCATTCCACTGTTCACATTCCACTCCAAAATTCTGTCAATTTGCCATAATAGCAGTTAGTTATATTTAGCCAAGTACATATGGATACCGATCAGTAACATTGTGAACATTTTCAGTACTATTGTTATAAGCTCATAGCTGACAAATAGGTAACTGGATCATAGAGCATTGCTCATTCAGGCGTCGGCCACTTCTCACCTAGACGTAGCAGTCATCGACTATATATCCTATCCACACACTCCTCAATATACAACCGTTTATTCTGTAAATAATAATATTTTAGACATTGCCTTCAAATACGTCATAAATTGATGTATTAGCATTACTTTATATATAATCGTATAAGGGTAGCATTATCTGGTACCAAGAATTTCTATCCCCATCTTCATTGTGTAAGAAGACTGGCGTAGCTTACAAACTTTGTAATATAATTGAGTTTGTATTTAATTACATTGTTCTAAGTCTGGTATCTGGGATCGGAGAATGTTGAATGAACAATAAGCCTAATACCTAATTCTTTTTAAAAGTAATATTATTACATAATTTCGCTATTCGTCTGTAACTTACGCCTCACAACACTATATTTGTGCCCGCAACATTGTTTTTTCCGACTAGCGCTAGTTAGCTTGTCCGGGACACTCGACTCGCCCCTTCACTACACTCGTTAGATTTTCTAGTACGCTTGCTGGTGGATTGTTACTTGCTCCCAGCTCTTACTCGAATAGCTAGAAACGAAACGGTCTAATGATTTCTTAACGAGCATGCTTTCTGAAAAGCCAAGTTTTTAAATATATTTTAAATGATGACTACAGCTAGATGGTATTTATATTTTAATAGACAGCTTTCAATTCAATAAGACTACATTGTGCTACATAAATAATTACCTATTCTCCAAATGTGATATACATATTGGTATAATGTATAATTTTCTTTATTGTGCACTAACGCATAATATATTTTTATAGATTATAAATTAGTAGAGATGTTTATTATATACAAGACATATAAAATCTGCATTCATAAATATTCCTCATTTAAAAAATACTTTTACATTTATTTGATAAGGGTTACATCAAAAACATTGTTATAATTATTTTAACTTGAAGTTGTCCGAAATGTCTAACTGTATAAAAACTTTTGTCGATATTGATTTCCAATGGTAAACTAAGAGTAAACGGACCAAATTCGGAACTCTATTAAATGAAATACGATTAATACGGTACTGTAGCAAATACTATATAAAATTCGGTTACGACTATCATACCAAATGGAGTAGCCAGAGGTATTATCACAATACTTGACTTGACTTGACGAGCCTACCACCGACTCCCCGATTATTTTTTTGTTTGTTACCAGTATTTCATATTATCATTGAAAAGTCAGACAGAAATATAAATTAATATCATTTTTCATTGTCCGCCACACCTTGGCATATTTATTGTTAATCTTGTAGATTTAATAAATAAGCCGTGACGTTTTCAATGCACATAATATCTTACCTGTTAAAAAACCGATTGCAACTAAAATTCAGGAGCGAGAACATTAAAGACCTTTGGAAAGAATACAGATAGGCGGCGCGCTCGTTACAGAGGCCGGACGTCCGGGCGGATGAGCGACCATTGTTCAGACGCCATACCTATTGAAAAGATGATGCGCCTTGAGCACACGATAATGGTCCCCAGCTCCTGGTATCTGAACGTTCCTGAAAATAGTGAACCTAAGCTCACTCCAATAAGATTTTCCTCCCCATTTTCTGACTATACACATATACTTAGTATGCAATTTTCTGTAATGTTTAGACTTTTAGGTCATAGATTTATTTTCTGGCAATGACATTCATTTCATATAATTATATAAATGTACAACAGACATTATATGTGAATGAATTTAGTATTGGTAGTAATTTTCACATGGATGGACTAACTACTGGCTTATGACACACCTACTTTACACTTTTGGTTTTTAAGCATTTACACTAAAATAAATTTACTCACCTTATGGCACCATTATTATGCATTACATTTATTTATTTACATATATATATTTATTCTAGTATAAATATATGTATATATATAATAGATCGTTTTACACACTTATTAATTTATAATGTTAGGCTCATTTAGTTGTTATAGTCTAGTTTACACAATGTGATATAAAGATGACGTTATGTGAAGTAGAAATAAACGGCACATATTTACTATAATTTTTAATATCTTTTCTAAATCAGTAAACAGCAGAACAAGAGGGCGTCAGAGATGAAATAACTCGAAAGCGCTTCATTTACAGCGCACGTTATGTGATCAATTATATTTAAAAATATAATATATTTCTCTCTTGTCCTCAGAGATCTGTGAAGACCCAGAATTTCCACGGCCATACATGATGAAGCGACCTGACCCACACGAGAGTTTTTACGCTGCTACCGATATTATACATCACGTGAGTACATTTTTCTTATTAATCATGTTCGCAAATTATTAATGCTTATATTTATCGTTGGTAATTTATTATGGATATTAAATAATTAGAATATATATTAGATATTCTAATTATTTGATCTCATACGTAATTTTTATCGAGAAATTAAGTATTTAGGCCACTTTTACAGTATATATTTTTATAAATTAAAGATAAGTCATAGTAATTTTTTCTTCGTAAATTATTGTTAGCTATTAGTATAATTGAATAATATGTTGACTTAGAGATAAAGTCAATGTTAACTACAATAGCCAATAGTGGAACTGCGGAACAATAGAACTCACAAACAGGGACATCGAAGCGCTTTGCAATATTGAACATTAATTAATTAAACCAATCCAATCGAATTTCCAATTAGGATCTAATCGAGATGTCGTCATTTCTAATGGCTGTTAATAGCGCATTTACGAAGTGCGTCATCTATAGGAATTTAATGCATTGTTGATATTTGCTTCACAAATGCTTACAATATGACATCGTTACGGGGAGCGTTCAAGAGCTTTATTCGGTTGACCTGTGGGATTGCTTTTACGGTGCATGAATATGTTGTCAAAAGCAGCGTTGTTACGGTAAAACACGTTCCCAAAGACCGTTTCGCCTAGGTTATATAACAGCTTGTGCAAACCACCATTGTCGTTGGAGGCGAGGAACAGAAACAATTACGTGCCGAGCGATCTATTGTCTCAATGTTTATAGGAACCAGTGCACATTAAACACAACCTACAAGCAGCGGTGCAAATTGTTCATTGACTATTTTTAATATAATGAGGATAGATACTGTTACTGCTAACATAAAGAAAAATAGAATATTTTTCTTTGATTATATATTTTTTTAAATATCCTGAGAGGAATATGGATCAACATACACGTGTCTTGTTTACGGATAAAAATTCTATTCTCTATTGATACAAAGGATTTAAGTAAAAATTGCGTAATTCTCTTTAAGCCATAGTAGCTGAAAGTTTCGCTTTTGATAAAATACATTAATCACCGGACAATGTATGAAAATTGAAATCCGTAAGATTAGAATATATTAAAAACCATTAGGATAGTTCGAATTAGTTATTTTATTGGTACTTGTTGCTACTTTTTTTACAGTAGATAAACGGTTTCAAATTTGTGTATATATATATATATATACGTATTTTAACCCGTTTATGTATACTATACAGATATTATATACCACAGTTTCATTTTATAAAATCGAGATAATTACTTAAAACGAAACGCATACACGTCCTCTGCGTCGAAACGACAGACGCGAATAAATAAGTCAGTGTTGAAAGGCGTCTATTGAAATCGAAATCGTGTCAGCCTTAGAACCCAAAGGTATATTTCTTGTAAAAACGTCGCAGTAAACACGGATACATTATGTGAAGGCGGAAAGTAGCCATAAGCCGGATACAAGACGTAAAGTGCAGTATAGTAATGTACCTAATAGTGCGCCCTACAGATGGCGAAGATTTCCCGAGAGGGCAGGTCATAGCGAGGGGAGTGTGTAGAAAATGCCGATTGATTGTTAATTTATAATGAACGACACTATTCCCGACAGTATGAGTAATAGAATTTTAAAAAATGTAATAACGTTCATTATACTTATAGGATTATTAAAATTAAGAATCCTTTTGAATAATAGAAGTATAAAACTGAAACAATTTTAATCCAGAATATTATATTATTTTTAGCTATTTGACGTATTATTTATTAGCGTATTTGAATTTATGCGTTCAAAAGTATCCCTTTATTTAATTTTATTACATTTCAAGAAATAATATAACTATATAATATAGTTTAGTTTGATGTTAATATCAAAACCTATTCAGAAACAAAATTACCTCTAGAACATTGACTGTACAAAGTAATTAATTTTGCAAATAAGCCGTCCATTTAATTGACGTCCTAATCAATAGGTGTGCAGCCGCAAACCGCAGACTGGCTAAATAGTTGTGTTGCAATGCCGCCATCATTACCATGTAGGCACTTGTATTACCTCCTTGACATACGCGTCAAAGCTTACTAACTATATAGATTCAATACCAACTGTCTCTATGATTAATTGATGTTGATAAACATTATACTTGATTATATGTTACTTGCTGACCTTTGCCACATTGTTTTGTTGTATAAATTATTTCTAGACAGATAGATAGGGCTACCCTTATCATCCTATATCATGATAGTGGTATGAGCCTATTATCAGATTTATCGAATATACAGCAATTTTTTCTTAAATTTTAAGAATTTTTTGGTCGAACCGTTTCAGAGGTGTTCCATATCAAACACAATATAAATATCATATCAAACAATGTTCCAAACTTCATAATTATAGTAAAAAAAGAGTCAATAGAGAACAGTTTTGCCAACAATAGAAACTAAAATCAAATACAACACAACTCGGATTCCGAAGTCGGAAAACTATGCTGCAAACAAATAAATGCAGTTGTTTATAGTTGTACCTACATATAACCATGCGCTTAGAACTATTCTTATATTGATAAGGGACATGACATACCAAATGAAAAATAACTTGAAAAAGATTTTTAGATTTTTTTATATTTCCTTACAGACTCAACTCCGTTGATAATTAATTTCATATAATTTTTAAATTTAGTTAAATTAATCTGTCTTTTCCCTATGACTGTTTTTGTGCCCTGGTTTAATAGAATTCTTTAAAAAAAAAGACTACCTACATATAAGTAGGTTGTTGTCGCTTTTTTAGGTCTTGATATATCATTTTGTGGCTACGATTCGTGTATAATCATAAACAAACTAATTTAATGTTAAAAAATATTACCTATCAATTAATTTACGAAGGTAAATTACGAAGGTATGACATTACTGAATTGCTATTATAGAAAGCACACCTTTTCCGTTGCAATGCTATACAATTAGATAATTCAACATAATACTTACTAACTAGTTACTAAATTTCTATACTGAAATTAAACTGTCATCTCCAATAATTGATTTACTGTGGCTTTGGGTGCACAGAAAGCGATTCAAATATCGAATTCAAGTTAGACAAACATAGATGAAATAGTCTCAGTCCTTTATACGTCAACTAACTTGGAGAAATTGCTGTCTAACCTCAGGCAACTATAGGTACCAAAGATACTCTCTCCGTACATTCTGAAATCATTGTCATTTTTTAATGTATCATAGACCAAAATTGATAATAATATTTATATTAAATATTAGTGTTAATCTTAGACATTAATTTTGTTATGTTCAAATTTATTTAATTGTAAACTGAAATATATAGCTAATGAAGTAGCTAATTCAATCTGCAAATAACTTTATGAGTTTAAACAGGTTTATAGAAAACCATAATGATACACGTCAAAGTAGCGTACGACATTATGGTCTGTATTGTGTTCACGTAAACACGATAATAGCATTCACTGTTCTGACAGCTGGTATAATTGGAAACGTCACTGTGAGTATATACAAAGAAAATGAATATTTGATTAGCGTATTACAAGATAAGCTCCCGCCCATTGTGTTCATAATTATCTATATACATAATATACCTCGTTACTTAGCTAATCTCCACCATAGGTAATCAGGCATTATGTTAAATAAATAACAATGCTAATAGGACTACATTAGAGTTAAGTCTTCTAGCTGTTTACTTGAGAATGTACCAAATTAAATTATTAATTCAAAATTATTAACTTTGTTTACTGCATCGTCATACAAAGGTCCTAGAATTCAGAAAAACTGGTATATATAAATCCCAAAGAATGAAGTATATTATATTCTCATTATTTGGGATAACGACATAAATTTTGCGTTTTATTTTATACTTGATTTTAATACAAAAATTAAGGGTGCCCTCTTAATGATATTCATTCTCTCTTCTTCTTCTTCTTCGTTTCAACGGCAACCATATATTTAAATATATTAATAGAACGCCGCGACAACCCTTGCGCACTCCGTCGCATCCCTTAGGTCCCCCTTTGTGTAGGATGCTGGGTACAAATGACAAGCCAGCAGGTATGCCATAGTCGTCTAATCTGGGTTCGTAGTCTGTTAAGCGATTTCCAAATGGGCCATTGCAGGTCGCTACCTGGGGGCAGGTGTTCGACTGGTTGAATAAAGTCCAAAGGAGCAGGATGATTTAACTTCCATAAGTCTACTTTGGCTTTATGTGGGGCTTTGGTCAAAGCACTTGTCCTTCTTAAAAACTCTTCTAGCTTTTTAAGCGGACATCGGGAATAGAGTAGTTATGAAGTGGGTGGCTGGAATCGGTCTCTTGTCTACTTTTTTTTGTCTCGCACAACACCTGTCGTCGAACATTTGGTGGAGCAATCCCTGTGAGTGAATACAGCATGTTTAGTTAGGTGTTGGTTTGAGGCAGCCCGTTATAATACGATATGTCTCATTGAGAGCAATGTCGACCTCTTTCGCGTGGGTGGACCGATGCCACCGCAGATGGAAAGCGCATTCTCTCTTGTGAAGTCATCTTTCTTTTATTAATATGATCTGCCTCTTCTCTTGATATTTCTATACTCCAACTACGAACTCCCATTTTATCAGTTATTGCTACTACTTTTAAGTAATACGTGTTTTCTTGACATTGCTCATTACTTGCTTTATTTATTCTCGTCAGCATGTACACATAGATATCACAGATAATAAAAAAGATGCGTCTCTACGCATCTTCTTTTGTCAGTTTTTTATAGTTGTAACTTTGTAGAAATTTTATAATATGTAGGGCAGAAAGGCATAGGTAGTATATAGGCATATATTTTATTATATATCAATTTACTATGTACATTTTTAGTGATGCCTTATTTCCAAGCATAGCATACATATATGAACAAGAAATATATATAATTATAGTAGTGATTCCGACCGGTATTATTCGTGAAACCTCGTTTCACGAATAATTAGGAGATTTTTGGGCTTTGTACAATACTATAAAAAATCGGACTATAATCTAAACAAATTAATATGAA